CAATCACAGGAATTGTTGTTGTGCGTTTTTACCACTACCAGTGCTAGTAGTTCCAACTCAAGCTACATCTATTGTAGTTCTAGTCATGGGAACGTATGAACAACTTCTTCTGATTCACCAGTTTTTAGGAATGATGAGACCGGAGCATCTAATCCTTCTTCTAGATAATGAAGTCTCTATGATCGTAGGCTCTGATACCATGATAGCTCCATAGTTGGAGCTTTAAGCTTTACATTAATGTAGTGAGGAAGAAAGAAATTGTATTGATTGAATTATGTAACTTGATACATTGAATCTTTACACTGTGTATATTTATACTAATCACATGAGCTTGTAACTAACTAATGTCAGTTGTCTATATTTCTGACTAACTCTAGCTGATTAGTTAACTAACTCAATCATTTACACTAGTTAACAGTTTGGTTATAGATTTTAAAAAGCATATTATTTGGTTTGGTTTTGGTTTTACAAAAAAAAAACCTCAAATATTATATATATAAATTTTATAATTATTTATATATTATTCATAAATAAAATATAAATATTTTGTTAAATTTTAATTAACTTAAGTTTTTAAATACATTTTAGGAAAAATTACCTAACTACACATCATTTTTAACCCTATTTTCTATTATTCCCTAACATTTTAAAAAACTACAAAAATTCCTCTTTTTTCTCAAATTCGCTCATTTCCAGATACATAACTTTCAATCTTCCAACTCCACTATTTTCTCCCTTTATTCATGCCTATAATCACTCCACTATATCACCAATTACCTTTATCACTCCTTTATTTTGAATTTTAAATATTTTCTTCCTACAATTAATGATTTAAAGTTAATTAAGAGATAGTTCTTCATTTATTTTTTTCTTTCCGATTCTTTTTTTTTAACAGGAAAACACGAACAGTAGGCTCAATTTATTGACTATGTATCATATGTTTGTTGTGTATGTGCAGTACTATTTTACAACAAAAACATTGTTATCATATTCACAATTTTTTTTGTATATGATACACAACTACGTCAAATTATACGGGCATGATACATCTCATTTATACTACATGTATCGATCTCAAACCAAACAACTGTAACATCTCGCAAATTAAAAGAACTAGAAAGAGCTAGAATTAGAAAGAGTAATTTTTGGAAAAAAATAAAAATCTGGAGTATTGGTTAAGTTTGAGTTTTTTGGTCAACTTCAAACGACCATAACTCCTAGCTCAGGATGAGTTAGGTGTGTTTCCAAATATCGTAGAAAAGATCTTGGAATAATCTTTCCAACGCCGCCGAGTTTGCGCGATTCTGGGTTTGTATGAGTGAGTTATTCCCATTGAAAGTTGAGTTGTACAAATAAGGAAAGTTCCATCCGGATTTTAGAAGGGCATTATGGTCTTTTCACCACCCAATTAATTAATTTCATTTTTGGTAATTAAGTTGGGGTCTAAACTGATTGGATTCAGTTTACACTTTTGAGAAACAAGTTAGGGCTTTGAGAGCAGAGAAAAGAAGATGAGAAAAGAGGAGAAGGAGCAAGGAATCGTCAAGTTCTTGAAGCTAGGCTCGTGGATTTCGTCAAGGGGTGATCCCTACAAAGTATGTGAATTCACACAGCATTGGGCTCATTCACCCACGCGCCAAACATATTTAATTCAGCGTGAAATCGTCCTAAAAAGTTGAAAGTTTGAATGTTCTTGATATGTGTTCTCGAATTTACTTTTGTTCTTAAATTGGGATGAGATTGAGGAGTTTCTTGAGATTGTAGAGTCAACTATTAGAGTTGTTTGAGTTAGATTCTTGTGTATATGTTGTGGGTACCTGAATCTAAAGAGATATTGAGAAAAATAATCGAATTTAGGCGAATTGGGGCTGGAAAACGAAGAAGAAAAAAGTCGGGCAAATCTGGTGCCCTAGTCCGCGTCGCGGACTTGTCCCACGAGTTCACATAAATTTTCTTCGCGTTGCGGAGCGGTCACAAACCGTTCTGCCTCAAAATTTATTTTGCGATCAAAAAATTAAATGCGTTTCCGCGTCGCGGACTTGCTTCCAGGCAGTGATTTCTTGATCATTTCTTATGTTTAGTTATCTAAAATTATTCCTAAACATCATGAGATCTTTCCTATCACAAATTACAATCCTTGAATCCATAATTCAATTCAAGGAAAGTTAAGAGTCAAGTCAAGAGAAGTTCATAGAGTCTTCCAAAAGTCTTCTACAAATGTTTTAACTTTGTTTTAAGACTTAAGTTTGAAGTTGAGTAAAGAGTAAAGACTGAAGTCATTTCTTCAAAAGAGTATATCGGGACTATGTATTCCCAAAGAGTAAATGTTTTCACATTTAAACAAGAAAGGAAACTGAGATTTCCAAAAGAGCCTTTGAGCTTGTTTTTAGTAAAGAGTAAGAGTAAAGTTCATTCTTCAAGGATTATACGGGAACTAAGTATTCCCAAGAGTTAAAATGTTTTCACATTTGAGTAAAAAAGGAAACTGAGATTTCCAAGAGAGTTTTTAAGCTAAGTTTTTGAGTAATTATCTCAAACCAAAGAAAGAGTTTTGTTTTTACAAACATATGAGATAAATATATTTTGGGAGTAGTATTGAGCACCGCAATGAGGACAAGTTTGAGTTCAGATAACTCACGCCTCCATAAATCATGTAGCCATTAAGGGGTAAAGGATCATACTTTTTAGATAACTCCTTAAGTGCTTTTTAGCATAGACTAGTGGATCCACTTAGTTAAGGCGTTCTATATGACAACAAAGTATAGGACAGTTCTGGCAGCATGGACAAGACGTTGTATTACCACTTAGTCTCATAGTGGTGATTGTCGGTTAGAGAATCTCCCATAGAAACTATATTACTTTCATATATGAGTAAAGTTGAATTGATATTGCATTTTCTTTAACGAACTAAGTTGTTTTCTATTGTTTTAAAAGCTTTCTATATATTGCATGTGTTTTATTGCTTTATATTGAGTTAAGTTATTCAGGAGTTGACTAAAGTCAAGGTAAATGTTTCTTTCAGATTCTTTTCAAGCTTAAGTTATGTTTAGCATTCCAACTCGCATACTCGTACATTCAATGTACTGATGCCAGTTGGTTTGCATCTTATTATGATGCAGACACAGGTAACAGATCAGCATCCAGTGCCTCGTTGATCCAGTTGAGCACTCAGAGTCAGTTGGTGAGCCTCCTAGCTTTTCGGAGGATCCTTTTTATTGCTTTCAATATTTTAGTTCATTAGGATGTTGTGGGTCTTGTCCCGACGTCCATCTCTGTTGTTTAGAGGCTTCATAGACAGAGTTAGTGATGTTAGTTCACGAGTCTTTACTTTTCCTTTTCAGTTAAGTTGAGAATTAAGTTGCCACTTTGGTAGTGAATGTTATTTATTACATTCTAAGTTATTTATTGAACAGTTTAGTTTTTCTTTTAAAGTATATTTATCTTGAGTAAAGTCTTCCGCTGATTAAGTAAGTCAATACAAGGGTTCGCTTGGAGCCAGTAATGGTTCTCGAGTGCCAGTCACGTCCGGGGTGTAGGCTCGGGGCGTGACAACAACTTATGGGAACAATTACATGTTTAATGTATCATGTAACAATACAATACTTACCAATTTAAACAAGATACATAAATAGTAATGTATCATGCACTAATTTTTTTTTAGATATGATACATAAATTCAAATTTATACTAAATTACATAGCAACTACCACACGGTAATATATCGATCTCAAATCTAAGATCTTATGGGCAACAATTATTTATTTAATGTATCTAGTATAAATACAATATGTATCAATTTAAATAAGATACATAAATAGTAAAATGCTAAGTAGCAAAGATAGTCATGATCTATCTTCTCAAAAATTTTGACAATTTTGAATCAAAATTGAAAGGATCTTCAATAAACTAGGAGAATAATTTTGAATCTCAAAATGAAAGGATCTTCGATGAATTGGGAGAAGAAAGAATCTTGAATCTCAAAATTTTTGACAATCTTGAATCAAAATTGAAAGGATCTTCAATGAACTTGAAGATTCAAAAGGAAATCGTTTGTCCAATAACAATTCCATCACTTTTGTTTCCTTCGTAACTCACCTCGCTTACCCAAAATTTTGACAAAAGTTTTTGAATCAAATCTGAAAGGTTTCTTCGTTGAATGGGGGGAGTAATTTGAAATTTTGAATTTCTTCGTTCTGTTAGGATTTACCTTTGTATGATTGAGAGTAAGAAGAAACATAAACGTAATTTATGGGATTTAATTAATTTTCAGATTTTATTCCCTTTTTAGCGCAACAGAAAAATTCTTCTTGTATTAGAATTAATTTATCCGGATGGTGAATTAATGTATCTAAATGGTACAAATTTTAAGGGATTATTGTAATTAGAAAAAGAATAGGGATAAGATGTAATTTACTCTTTACACTATGAGATTTATGTAAATTATACTTAATTTTATCATTTTCTGAAGCCCAACACTTAAATTTTAACCCAACTATTAAAATCCTAAGACAACGTCCATCAAATATCCATTACCTTATCTTTACCTACCCTACCTTAAATTACATAGTCACCGTTTCTCTTGATAGAATCACTTTAAAATAGCTTTAGTATTGCCTAATTGAATCCACAATAGTGGATTGTTCATGTATTAGGTGTGTGTCTATCGAGATGTCTATGCCCTCAACAAATTTATTACTTTCAAATAAAAAAATTGAACCAAACCAACAATTATGTTTTTCGTTTAGTTTGGTTTGCTTTTAGACATTTAAAAATTGATTGTATTGGGTTGATTTTGACTTTGGCCAATAATCGATTCAAACCGAACCATGAACACCCATAATCCATAAAATTAAAGCAGATAAAAGAAAAATCACCTAATTAATATGGTATCTTTACTAAAGATTGAAAACCTAAAACCTCATGTTGCCTATCTCACTTCATTGAAAGGGGTTGCAACATTGCAAATGGGTTAAAGCTCAGCATATAAAATTCTCGGCAACAACATCAATGGCGCATGAATCAGAATCAGTGTCACTTCTTCCTCCAGAAATAATATCTGAAATACTGGTAAGGCTACCCGTGAAATCCTTGTTGATGATGAGGTGCGTTTCTAAATCTTGGCTTTCTCTAATCTCAACTCGTCAATTCATCAAAACCCATTTAGAATTTTCAACCAACAAACAAGATTTTGCTCACGACATCCTTCTTAGTAGCTCTTCTTTTGAGCATACCCTAAGATTTTACACTTGCTCTCTTTATGCAATTATGTATCAAGAATCTCCACATGTACCTGATGACCTTGATTTTCCTTGCAAAGACCCACTTGTTAATTATAACTTTGTGGGTTCATGTGAGGGGTTGCTCTGTATTTCTGGTGGTGCTCATGATCTATTTCTATGGAATCCGTCTATAAGAAAGTCGAAGAAACTGCCAATTTCAGGAAGTAATGTGCATTGTAGTTCGTATTTGGCTTATGGTATTGGTTATAATGAGTGTCAAGATGATTACAAAGTTGTAGAAGTTATGGGAAGTTCGCATAGTGAGTATGGATTTCAGAATGAGTTTAGGGTTTATAGTCTAAGAACTAATTCTTGGAAAATGATTCAAGAGTACCCCGGTGTTATATTTTGCAACGATCCTGCTAAATTTGTGAATGGAAGACTTCATTGGATTGCTACTCGTGTTAGTGATAAGAATGACTCATGGTTTATCTCTTCATTAAACCTCGTCGATGAGAGATATGAAAATGTAGCATTGCCTGATCTTGTTTATGGTAATTTTGATTGGGAATTAGGGATTTTAGGTGGTAATCTATGTGTATTTTGTGACTATTATAAGGTTCGGATGGATGTGTGGGTAATGAAGGCATATGGACTTGTGGAGTCGTGGACTAAGGTGGCTTCAATCCCTTATTTTACAGCTATTGAGCACTCGCCTTTTCCAGTTTTCATCTCTCATAATGATGAAATTTTACTGCAACACCGTTCAAGTTTATTGATATATAATTCAACACACAATACTTTCAAGCATCCTCAGGTTCAGATCCATCATGGTTATAAAATTCAATTTAGTTTGTACACGAAAAGTCTTGTTTCGCCACATTTTGTTGAGGAAGTTTGAAAAGCTATGGATAGATGAATGACTGATGGAAATTTGTGCTATGGTTTTTCTTTTGTGGTCTTGTGCATAGTGATAAACTGACAAAGTCTTACTTGATGATTCCGGATTTTGGCCAAAAGAAGAAAGAGCGAAAATTTTGGCTCTTAGGCTGACAATTGGATCATCAAAGGGAGTAAAGCCCTATGATGTTAGTATGACACTTATGGTTGGAGTTGGTTCTTTGAAAATATCATCCTTTACAAAAGTAGGTGACACCAACAAAATTGGCTTTTTAGAATCTTTAAGTCAGCTTGGAAGTTCCTCCAAAGTTTATTTATCCTGCACTTTCACTGACTCAATGGTTCGAATGTAGTGCAACCGCAGTTTGCAACATACCCCCAGGGTGGACGAGTTGGTTGAGCAAGGGATATTTCAAATAGGTGGTCACAAGTTTGAAACCCCCTGCATGCTTTCTCAGTTGCACGGGGCTTGTCTAGTGTAATTTGGGTTCCTTTGTCATCAAAAAAAGAAAAAGCACAGTGCCAACATTTATTGTGGAAAAGGAACTGCTGGTTTTTGAATACTACCTTCTGCAGGGCAGCACAAGATTGAGAATTGGAGTTCAATATCATTTTGCTAATTAATTCAAGCTGACAAAATCAGACAGGGATGAGTTTATACAGTAATGCTACCCGGAATCAACAATTTTCTATCTGTGCTTAGCACTATGTCATAGTTAATTTGGTACAAAGTGAGTTACATTACATAATGCTGATGAGTAAAAGCTCTAAGAACTAAGAAGGGGTACTGTTTTCAGTTGACAATATAAATGGAAGGCGAAAAGCTGCACTCTCGGCATGAAAGCAAAGGAGACTCTCAACCATAGTGCATTAGCTCTTTTTTTTTTAATCTTAGATTCTTTGCTTTTGTTGTTTGTTTGTTGGGGTTTGTTTAATTCTTGGTTGCTTCAGCTTGATAAAGTTTTCTATATTTTTGTAGGAAAGGATTCCTCTTAGTTTTCCTTATTTCTGATTCTACCTTTATAGAATTTGCATTCTATAAATACAATAAAATTCAATAGAATCTGTATCAGATTGGAGTCATGACTAGCATGGACAATTTGTCTGAGAATGTAATTCACAAACTATGGAGTTTGTACCTTTGAGAAATGCCTTTTCTTCTACATCATACCTGCATTTTGTATTTTCCTTGGGTAATGGCTTTATCTGGTGGAGACTCTTCCCTCCTCTTCCTTTTAGTTTCTCTTTTACATGACTTCTTGGAGCAATCCCCTTGATATTCAAACGATTTGTCCCCATCTTTCGATACAGATGCATCAAAAGGAAAGGTACAACAAACAAATAAATCAGTGTGTTCTCTATTTAAAAATGGAATACTAGTGTTTATCTAGGATAATAAATAGGCAATAGAATGCACGATAAATCTGTAGAAACAAACATTTGTCCAATTGAGTGAGCACTTAGTAGGAATTTGAGTTCCACATACTGATGTACGGAGACATATTTGTAGGCTTTTACTTCTTTTAATTGACTATTGTGACGCTTGCTTCCATGACGAGTAGAATGCCTCAAATTCTTCATATGCATTGAAAGATCCATGAAACAAGAAATCATTTCAATAGTTGATGTTAGGGTGAGTCTCTTAGGATGACAACTCCATAACAAAGCATTCACAAGTGTTGGGTACTTAATAAAAATACAAATATTGAGTAACAAAAAAATAATTAACAAACAAAAATTACTATAAATACAATTCTGGTATGAATCTTCCTCCTCCTCCCCCTCCTCCCCAGCTGACCGCAGGTTGGATAATATCCGCTTGCAACGAAGAGGCTCTTTTCCACGAAGGCAAAATCACTCTTGCATTCAAGATCTTCACACCAGTTCATTTTCTGATTGATCAGAAAGACCAACCCGGTCCTAGTGAGAAGAAGATGGTTAGACGCCAATTGAAAGAGAAGTAGTTTTTCCATGATGACCGGTTGACTTCACTTAATAGAGTCCTAAGGGCAGTCTATTTGAGAAGGGGCCATATTAGTTTTTATTAGCTGTCCAAGGGAAAAGAGTAAGTACTGGCTGTTTGCATGTCCGAGCTAAGATCGGTTGAGGCGGGTAGGGTTGCCTAACTTACTTCCCTCCTCCTCCTCCTCCTTTTGTTATGTTCCTTTATTTCAATTTTTTGTTCACCAAACCAGAATCCAAATTTATATTCTCTTGTGTATTAGAAGTCCTATAAGCAAAATTCGAAATTATTAAATATGAATGTATTAAAAAAATCAAATAATATATGATGTATGAATGTCAATATATATTACTACAATCTACTAAATCTCAAATATGAAAACAAAATCACAAAAAATGAACAATAGTGTTTAAAAGACGAAATATCTTAAATACATAAAAGAAGGAAATCTCATATAATACCTGCTGAATATGAAAACAAACTCACAAGAAAATTGAACAATTCAGTTTAAAAGACAGAAAATCCGAAATACAAGATACTTGATGAATATGAAAACAAAATCACTCACAAAATACTTGTTGAATACGAATTTATCTTTATCAATGGGTGAAAAATATTTTTAATTAATTGTGTATTTCTTGAACAAAATGTAGGAAATTCGCAGAATTGATTTTCTTGAGCAAGGAAGGAAATAACAATGGTGAAAAAAGGAAGATAGAGAAAGGAGTGATTGGGGTAAAACCTAGAAGAGGAGTAAGTGCGTAATGAGGTTTTTTTTTATATCGGATAGTAGGGTAAAAACTGGTCTAATGTGGAACTGATTTGAGAAATAAAAGAAAAGAAAATTAATTATATTAAGATACAATTTATTTTCTACAATATTGACATTTTTAAAAAATTATTTTAAAGTGTAGATATTTTTAATAATTATATTAGGGATTGTGACTAATTTACTAATTTTTCCTTTTTTATTTGATGCAAATTTTACTTTAAGAGAAAAGAAAAAGGATGAAAAAAGAAACCAAAAAGCAAGAAAAATTACCTGTTCACTGAAAAGCGTCCTTTAGGAAAATAGAATCAGTTTTGCTGCCTCTATAAAGTGTTTCCTTTGAGAGTGTGATTCATCCTTTTCAATGCGGTTAAATGTTACTCTCTCTATTTCAAATTAATTAAATTATTAAGATATTTTATACATTTTAAGAAAAGAAGATTAAGACATAAATTATATATAACTTTTTATTTTTATCTTTATTAATTATTATCAAATTTATGATTAAAATAACTACATATTAATTACTCCCTCCATTCCATATTAATTGAATTATTGAGATATTTTTATTTTTCAAATTAACTTAATTGCTCAATATTCAAGATTATTTTTAAAATATTCTTCCAATTTTACCCTTCATTTGAATTTTCAATGTGACGACTTCAATAAATTTGACAATAATTATTAAGGGTAAAAATGAAAAACTATGTTCAATTTATGTCTTAATCTACTTTTCTTAAAGGGTGTGAAACACCTTAAAAATTCAAGGGAAAAGGGTTTGATATACCCCTCAACTTTGTCATTTAGAACTGATATACCCCTCGTTATGAAATTGGCTCATATATACCCCTACTTATATACAAATGGCTCACATATACCCTTTTCCTCTAACGGAAATGAAAAAAATTAATTTTAGTTTACTTTTTTATTATATATATATATACACTACCATATGAGTATATTTAATCCTCCTCAATTTTTATTTTTATTTTGACTTTTTTTTTATTTCAATGACTAATTTAGATTTATTATTTTGTTGATCAAAATTATTTATGTTTCACTAATATTCTTGTAAACTTATTATAGCTGGCCAAATTTTTTTCTTCAAATACAAAAATTAAATTATAATATAGACAAAAAAATAGTTTTAAAAGGAATGAAAGAAAAAAATAAAATAAGAATAAGAAACTCAAATAATTATAATCAAAGAAGTCAAAAAATAATTTATGTATGAAAAAGTTTAAAATATACCTTGAACTTTATTAGAAGAATCATATATACCCCTAAATAATTTTAAAGAAAATTAAAAGTCAAAAATATAAATTTAAAACTAATTATTTAAAATGAAAGAAGTATTAGATGATTCATCGTTTCCAATGCAATTAATTACTATTAGGCTTTTTAGAAAAATTTCTCTCTGCCTATGCAGTTAGCTCGACTCCATTTATTGTTTCTTGATGCACGTTGGGATTCTTTCACATATTCATTTATTATTTATCAAACCAAATTAGATAAATTAAATTACTAAAGAATTTTTCAAATTCTAGAGGTTTGTGTATATGTTTTTTAAACCTTTTTTAAAAATTTATTAAAAATTTATTTTAAAAATCTTCTTATTTTCTTTATCTTGTATATTTAATCTAACTGAATATATATAATTTTTTAAAAACTTCATTTATCTAGTATTTAAACCTTTTTTTTTCTTTTCTTTTTTTACCTTCATACATTGTTTTTTCTCTTCTTTTTTTATTGATTTTATTTATTCTTTTTATTTTCTTTGCCTTTCCTTTTATTTTGATTTCAATTTAGTATTTTATTTGTATTTATATTTATTATTCCTTAAACATAGACTAATTTTATACATTAAAATGTTGAAAAAAGTAGACAATTTTAACTATTTAGTGTTTAGATTTTAATACAACATCTTAAATAATCAAATGCGCATTTAGATTTAAAAGTCTAAATCTTGATAAAGGTCTAAATCTTGATACACATCTAAATATTTAGATGTGCATTTTGCAGATTCAGATATGTTAATTTTATGAAAACGAAAGCACAACTTTAGTGAAAAAAGGCGTAGTTAAAGAATATATATCAGGCTAATTGTATAAACGAAATAACTATAAATTAAGTGACATGAAAACATGTAAATGTTAGAAAACTATATGCACAGCGGAAGCATATCAGGATCATTCTGCTTACATGAATAATAGATAACCAATACCGTTTATGCTAGAGCACATAAATTTGTTGAAATTTAATTCGATAAATACATCTTGAAGCGTGAGCAGAGATACCTTCAAACGAATCCCCA